GAAGTGTAGGTGTCAATGTCTGTGTGAAAGTCACAGGTTGTCATGATTCGGTCCCACCTGTTTCTGTTCTTGTGCTTTTATTTTGACATTGCTTCCTGTTTTTGTTTTTACCACAGTCTCGGTATTTTTACTTTAGTCATCACTCACATTAGTTTCACCTGCTCCTGAGTGTTTGCACCTGTTTTCACCCCTATTTAGGCAGTGTCCTACCACCGGGATGCTACCAGATTGTTCTAGACTCCAGCTCTGACTCTCCAGCATTTTTGTTTTGGTATTTCCTGTTTTGACCCGGATCGTGTACTTTGACCATTCTATTCTGCCTTGTCCTCTTGCTTTGGACTGCCTACTGTGTATGAATTATCGGACTTCCCTTTTGGACAACGAACTTTGGATTCCTTGGATGTATGTGTTCGCTGGCTCTGACCCAGGACCGTATAAAATCGACCTGTAAGTGCGTTTTGTGTTTACACCATGTCTTGTATTGTTTTTTGCTCAGTGTCTGTGCTCTTATTAAAGAGACGGTTGTGTTTTACGTATCCTCGTCTGGCACTTTGAGTTCACCACGACATTATCAGCAGCTTCATGTGCCGACCCTGACACTGGTAGCCCAGGAGGGAAACATAATCCAATGTGTGGTGAAACCTGTCCTGTAGTACAGAGTCTGTCCCCTCTGGCCAGACTTTGATGCTCATCATTGATGGCTTCACATGGCAGATGAGTGGTGAGTACTTGTGAATGAGGAACAAAGAAAGGTGATCTGACTGTCCCAAGTGGGCGAGGGGGAAGGGGCATCTGGGTGTGCACTCTGTTTGCTAATGGCCACATGAAGTTCGTTCATAGCAAGCTTGGCATTAGCATCCAGAGCAACATAGGTTGCCACTATTATAGTCGAAATGTATTCCCTAGGGAGATAAAAAAGGTCTACACTTAACCATAAGAAATTCAAGGTTAGCTGAGCAGTGTCTCTCAGTGATGACAGAGTTCATACACCAAGCTTTGTTAACATACAGTAAATGTACAATCCTCCGCCTCTGGTCTTACCAGAGTCATCTGCTGTTCTAATGCTGGGTAAAGAGAGCCGATGTGGTGTTAGCTTTAGCTTAGCCCTAACTCCTCTGCACTTTCCACGCCTTTGTTTATGATCTCGCTGCCACCTGAAAGCGATTCCGCCCAGCCGGGTTGTGTGCGTAGTCTGCGGTGTTTTGGAGATTGGTGATAAAGCTGTTGGAGTGGTGCAGATCAATATCCAAAAGTTCTTGCTGCGTGTAGGATATTAAGTTGAGGCTGTTCTGCACAAACAGACACAAAATGAGCAGGAGAATCACTTGCAAAACTGTGAAATCTGGGGAGACGCCAAGCCTTGCGTTGTACACGTGCCACCATCTTGGTCTAAAATCACTTAAATTGTTCACATTTAGATAGACACTTGTGTGTGCAGTGAGTCCATTAATGCCCTTTTTCTTAGGTGTTCATGTGGATCCTGCATTTCATCCTAATGTGATGTCAGATAGGAGTGTGGGCAGTCCAACTCTAAAAGCCAATGGCAGACATACAGCTTGAGTAATGAGGCTGTGATCGCAAGCACAAGTACAAAAACAAAAAACCCCACTAACAATTAGTGAATAGTTATTAGTCTGTGCATTAAAAACTTTACATGGAGCCCCTTTTTAATCTGTTATTTTTAAGTCGTCCTCCTTCACCCTGACCAACAGGTTATGTTTTAAACAAACCTGCCAAATAAGAGTGGTAGGATAAGATTTAGCTTGCTAATTTCAAAATTTGCATTTTGCAGGTAAGTTTCCTTATGAAACAGAATACAAACTGGCATAACAGATAATACAATGACTCAGTGACTAGAGATTTCAACAGTACCTTCACTGAGAGGCTCAGTCTAATCACAGACAAGGGATACTCTTTCATAAAAAAGTGTCACTTTTTATCTAATGTGCATGAAACACAGCAGATCATAAGACAACATACAAAAAGTAGTTTTTATTAGCTATGAGTTTGGAAATACGTGCACCAAGTCTTTCACTTCTTGCTAATCTGGACACTGTGTTAGGATGGTGTGCGGGAGAGGTAGGACTCAAAATAGAAGACTACCAAGTAGATGAACAAGGACTGAGTTTATTAAATGTAAAGCAAGAGTTGACTGAGTAGAACGAGACTGGGCAGGCACCAGCAGAATCTAAGGACTATGAGGTGCAGGTGAGTGAGGCTGGGTGGTGAACTCCAGAGGGACCAGGATGGGCCGGGCAGTCAACAGGCGATGGCAAGTAACAGGAGGCGTCTTGCCTAAGGACACTTCGACACATGGACTGCAAGCACCGAGATTTGAACCTTCAACCTTCTGGTTGGGAGATGACTGCTCTACCCACCACACCACCCCAACTACTACACTACATACATTTATAGAATCAACTGACCGATCAGTCAATCTTTACAAACATGTATTTACATCATTCACACAAAGCCTAGTTACACTCATCACATAATTGATTGATTGATTGATTGATTTATTCTTTCAAACATGCAGACAGAACAGAACCTTCAACCTTCAACCTAATTCAGACATTGTTTTGATGTCTCCTATTTCACCACTAGATGTCACTGAAATGAACCCTTGAATGAATGAACCAATGTTCAATACAATTGATGAAGTGGTTCGATACTGGTTCATTGCTTCATCACTATACATAGCCATAAGGGAATGAACCGGTGTCTGACTGAGGTAAGGGAGGAGTATTCATAATGCTGGCAACATAGCTAACGAGGGATAGGTGAGTGTAATGACAAGTGATTAAGGCCAGAGTGAGCTAAAGCAGGTGAAGAGAGAGGGAAAATAAGAGCAGCCATAACACACCGTCTTGGAGCTTGTTGTTAACCAGTTGCTAGTGCAGAAAGTGTACCCTATAAACCAAGTATATCTGATACAACATATTTCATGTTGCTATGACAAGAAACAAGTTCAATCAAATCAAATCAAATTTTATTTGTATAGTGCCAAATCACAACAAAAGTTATCTCAGGACACTTTACAAAGTAAGGTCTAGACCTTACTATTATCACTATTATTACAGAGGGAAAACCCAACAAATCCCCCTTGAGCAAGCACTTGGCGACAGTGGGGAGGAAAAACTCTCTTTAACGGAAGAAACCTCCGACAGACCCTGGCTCTTGGTGGGCGGCCTTCTGTCTCGACCAGTTGGAGTGAGTGGATAGAGGAGAGGGAAAAGAAGAAAAGCAACAGGACACAACAAACAACCAAACATTGGCCAGGCCGACGCAGCCAGCCGAGCACCCACCAGAGACGCAGAGCTCCAGAGCCAGGTGAACCCACAGAAAGGCACAAGGAGAGAGAGAGAGAGAGAGAGACAGGACACATCACGGGAGAGAGGAGACACAAAGCCAGCGATGTGCAATGGCGGCACACAGAAGCATAGAGAGAGAGAGGGGAGGAGAGGATAGAAACTCAGAGCATCATGGGGCCCCCCAGCAGCCTAGGCCTATAGCAGCACAACTATGGGAAGGCCCAGGGTCACCTGTTCCAGCCCTAACTATAAGACCTAAGTTAAGACTAAGTAAACAGAGAAGAAATAGCATCATGGCTCAGGTTGTTTGGAACCTGCCAACTAAGTAAACCAAGTAATGGTTATACAACCCCCCCAAAAAAAAACTAAACTAAAACACTAAAATAATAGGTTTTGGTGGCAATAAAGAGGGAAGGCTGAAGGTTACAGTCTCACAGGCAGTTTACTGCTTACTACTGCAACAAAGACCACACAACTTCAGTTCTCAAATTTCTGCATTGAATTCTAGTCTGTCAAAGACCTGATTTCAAATTTCCTACTCATTTATAAAGCACAAGTGGTTTTGGAACCACAGTACATCTTTAATCTTCTGCTACAGCATTGGCACATTAGACCTCAAAGGTTGGTCTGCTGTCTGTTCCAAAAATGAAATTCAAACATGATGAAAGTATTTTTAGCTACTCTGCAGCACCTAGTATATGAAACTACAACAATCTAAGAGTTACCTCAGCATTTATCATTTGTAAATCAAAGCTGTGTTTATCATAGGTTTTTATTGAATTTTGGGATAGTCTTATGTATGCATTCATTCTTATATTGCATTTGCACTCTTTTAAATTTTTCATTTCCTTTGCAGTTAAATTGTCTTTTGTCATTTCTCCCATTTTAGTCTCAGTGTAAATTATTTCGAGGTTACATTGTCTTCTGTGCATTAGTCATTAGTCAGTCACGCCTGTTGTTTTGAAGTAGTATATTTTTATTTCAAATGACACGTTTTACTGTGATCTTATTAACCTAATTTTTGATGTTGCATCATCCAATAGCGCCCCCACACAGCTCATGTTTGAAACAGTTTGGCAGTGCGTTGATTTTCAAAGTAGCAGCAGTATGGACTTACTATAGACGTGGTTTTGGGACGCAATGTAGTTGCATTATGCTGCTGCTGTTGTTGATGTTATTATAGGTCATCACCACCAATGTATACAAGTCCCAACTTTGAAGAGAGGAATGTAAATCCAGAGGGATTAGCGAGAACACACTGGGCTGTAAAACCTTGAGTAGCTCTGGAAGGGGTCTTTCCCCTCAGTGCGTAAAGTTGGGACGGGGCTCCGGACACACCGTGCTGCGCAGCACTTACATGCTCCACGTGCGTCACCTCTTCTGGATACTTGATAAGGATTTGTGATGACACTACCCCCGCGGGTTACTGACAGATAAAAAAAACAGTGGCATTTTGCTAATGTTAAGACGTTTTCACCTCAATAGATTATCTGTCCCAGAACGGAGAGGGGACATGGGTGCGACTCTTTTACCATTTGGCGCTATGTGTGTTGTTTTCTTGTGGGAATATGGTGCCAGCTCTATCAGGACGACGCTTGCAGTGGACACCTCGAGGTAAGTGTCCGGGACAGAAGTGGGTTCTAAAACTACACTGAAAAAAAAAGATTTGTTGGATTTACTTCATTGTAATGTGTACATCGGTCCCACACAATGATAATGTGTAAAACCAACATAATTTTCTTTAAGAGTTAACTTGTTTGAATTATGTTAACAGAGGAAATATGAATGAATTGCGTTGCATATACTAGCATAATTTGTGTAAATCCAAAGACCCGGTGAGTCCTTTTTTTCAGTGGAAAAATAGATACGGATGTCAACCTCATTCCAGGGTTTGGCCACACATGATGTGGTTTTTCCGTCAAGAGGCAAACCCCACTAAAATACACAAGAAAGTGTTTCAGAAACATCAGTTTGAAGCATTTTTTAAACCTGAGCCACAACGTTTGAATGCTGGTTTACCATCACCAGTGGTATAATAGATTGGCAACCACACACGGATTTATGTTTTACGTTTATGTGAACAAAACTGATACCGTTACAATGGGATGACTCCGGTTATGAACGCATGGCTGTAGCTAGTGTGCTCTTACCTTTCAGAACCTTATTTGGTGTAGGTGAAACAAAGTAGGTTATATAATGTTTCTGATTACACTGATGATGACAGAGTCCCTGCATGTAAAGGTAACTTTAATAAAGTCAGATTAGTAATTTTTGTATCCATCTTCAGTTTCACAATTTACAGCATGTTTAATGTCATTTTGTGATATTTCGTGGTTTATAATTTAGAGCTGGACCAATAAATCAGCCAAAGCAGTATACATCTTATCTTATAATCGGCAAGATGCTGTATGTTTGAGATTATTTATATACACTCTATGTTGTGTAGTTTGTCCACTAGGGAGCACTCAGCTGTATCCTCCTGCACAGTGTGTATGTATATATGTACAGTGCCTTGCGAAAGTATTCGGCCCCCCTTGAACTTTGCGACCTTTTGCCACATTTCAGGCTTCAAACATAAAGATATAAAACTGTAATTTTTTGTGAAGAATCAACAACAAGTGGGACACAATCATGAAGTGGAACGAAATTTATTGGATATTTCAAACTTTTTTAACAAATAAAAAACTGAAAAATTGGGCGTGCAAAATTATTCAGCCCCTTTACTTTCAGTGCAGCAAACGCTCTCCAGAAGTTCAGTGAGGATCTCTGAATGATCCAATGTTGACCTAAATGACAAAGGATGATAAATAGAATCCACCTGTGTGTAATCAAGTCTCCGTATAAATGCACCTGCACTGTGATAGTCGCAGAGGTCCGTTTAAAGCGCAGAGAGCATCATGAAGAACAAAGAACACACCAGGCAGGTCCGAGATACTGTTGTGCAGAAGTTTAAAGCCGGATTTGGATACAAAAAGATTTCCCAAACTTTAAACATCCCAAGGAGCACTGTGCAAGCGATAAGATTGAAATGGAAGGAGTATCAGACCACTGCAAATCTACCAAGACCTGACCGTCCCTCTAAACTTTCAGCTCATACAAGGAGAAGACTGAGCAGAGATGCAGCCAAGAGGCCCATGATCACTCGGGATTAACTGCAGAGATCTACAGCTGAGGTCGGAGACTCTGTCCATAGGACAACAATCAGTCGTATACTGCACAAATCCGGCCTTTATGGAAGAGTGGCAAGAAGAAAGCCATTTCTTAAAGATATCCATAAAAAGTGTCGTTTAAAGTTTGCCACAAGCCACCTGGGAGACACACCAAACATGTGGAAGAAGGTGCTCTGGTCAGATGAAACCAAAATCGAACTTTTTGGCAACAATGCAAAACGTTATGTTTGGCGTAAAAGCAACACAGCTCATCACCCTGAACACACCATCCCCACTGTCAAACATGGTGGTGGCAGCATCATGGTTTGGGCCTGCTTTTCTTCAGCAGGGACAGGGAAGATGGTTAAAATTGATGGGAAGAGGGATGGAGCCAAATACAGGACCATTCTGGAAGGAAACCTGATGGAGTCTGCAAAAGACCTGAGACTGGGACGGAGATTTGTCTTCCAACAAGACAATGATCCAAAACATAAAGCAAAATCTACAATGGAATGGTTCACAAATAAACATATCCAGGTGTTAGAATGGCCAAGTCAAAGTCCAGACCTGAATCCAATCGAGAATCTGTGGAAAGAACTGAAAACTGCTGTTCACAAACGCTCTCCATCCAACCTCACTGAGCTCGAGCTGTTTTGCAAGGAGGAATGGGCAAAAATTTCAGTCTCTCGATGTGCAAAACTGATAGACATACCCCAAGCGACTTACAGCTGTAATCGCAGCAAAAGGTGGCGCTACAAAGTATTAACTTAAGGGGGCTGAATAATTTTGCACGCCCAATTTTTCAGTTTTTTATTTGTTAAAAAAGTTTGAAATATCCAATAAATTTCATTCCACTTCATGATTGTGTCCCACTTGTTGTTGATTCTTCACAAAAAAATTACAGTTTTATATCTTTATGTTTGAAGCCTGAAATGTGGCAAAAGGTCGCAAAGTTCAAGGGGGCCGAATACTTTAGCAAGGCACTGTA